AAGGGCTATTTTTTAGCCATTATGTTTTGGGAACACTGAATGAATCGTCTTACAAATGAACAACGCTGGCAAATTATTGAATTTTATTACCAAAAAGGGGGCTCTGTTAAGAAAGTTCAACGAGCGCATCTTCCATCAGCATTGTGTTCAGCGACGAAGCTCATTTGGGTTATTTACGCACACAGAATTGTCGATTTTGTAGTGAAGATCAGCAGGAAGCATTGCAAGAGCTACCAATGCATCCATGAAAAAGGCACAGTTTGGTGCAGTTTAAGGGCTGGTGGCATCATTGGACCGTACTTCTTCAAAGCTGATACGAATCGTAACGTAAATGTGAATGGTGATCGCTACCGTGAGATGATATCAGACCTTGTTTGCCCAAAATGCAAGAGTTTGACTTGCACGACATGTGCTTTCAACAAAACGGTGCAACATGCCACACAGCACGCGTTACAATGGATTTATTGAGAGGCGAACTCAGTGAACATTTTATTTCACGTGCGGGCCTAGTTAATTGGCCGCCTAGATCGTGCGATTAAAACCTTGAGACTATTTTTCGTGGAGCTATGTTAAATATTATCTCTATACAGAAAAGCCCGCATCAAATGACGGATTAGAGGGTAACATTGAAGATTTATTCATGAGGCCGAAATTTTGGAAAGAGTATTGGACTAAGCGATGGACCGTTTGTGGCGCAGTCACGGTCAACATTTGCAAACATTAAATTCTAAGGACCGTACTTACGATTCAAATTAAGATTTCATGCATTTTTCTCAATTGTATGTGCTTTTATTTTGAAAATAAATCACCCTTTATAACGCGCTGCCCAAATTAAAAATTTCATTTGATCCACTTTACTTAAATAAATATATAAATTATTAGAAATCAAAAGATATAGGTCTTCTTCATTTATATTACAATGATAATTACGGCTGTGACTGTGGCTCCTTTTAGGTGCGCGTGTTATATAGAAATCGTTATTTAATTTGCAGTATTTTATGGCTCTTTTGAACTTTCTATAATGATTGCAAAGCTTTGCCATACTTACTATTGTAAGCTTTCAGTAAAGTTAAGAACCTGAAGCAGGGTGTGTGATATTTCCAAAAATGTAACAATGGTGCTTAAGGATATCTTATTTAAATATTTGAAAGTTAAGAAAAATATTTCATTCAATTGCTGCAATCCGTTTGTTGGCCTTATGCGGATATATCGTTCTATAAAATTTTTTTTTTTGTTTCCTTTGGGTAATAATTTCTTTATATAATACTATCTGATGCATAAGCAAGCAAATATATTAGTTTATACGCAGACTCATTACATAAATCTGCAGTGACCACTTTGGCACTCTTATATTACGATTATGAGGGACAAATATTTATGAATTAATTTTTAAGTTTTAATTTTTTAATTTATTTGGTTTTCTTTGGCACTCTTGAGAGCTTTTGTAAAAACTATGAATAATCGCGGATAGCCTTGACCTCAAATTGAATTCTGGCAAGGCATATATCTTCTTTTACAGCTTTTTCATTCAAAATTCCCTTTTTGTGCTTGCATGTACATTTTATATACATATAATTGGCGCTTTGTACCAGCTGAAGCGATTTCCGACCGAGCTTCTCCTCCCATTTGTGGTTTTGCGTCCTCATGTTTTTCCAACAAGTGGAGGGACCTACAGTTTATACTGAGCCCCCTCCAAACAACTGATGTTTTTTTTATGAGGAGCTTTAGCTTTATTGCATGTCAGAAATACTCTCGGAGAGTTGGCATATCCTGCCTAGAAACGACCGTAATTTGAAAAAGAAATTTCTTCCCTGGTATTAATTTTCTATTCTTTTTGGATGTTAGCCCCAGACCAGGATTTGAACTCGGGCCTTCTGAATGGCAGTACGAAATGCGGCCGCCATGTCGATTTCATTTCTAGAAAATAACAGAACCCTGAATAAGCGCTATCTTAGGTCTACTGGCCCATTGTGCCTATTAGGGGACTCCTCTCACCTTTCCTGATGTTCAAGCAACAAATATAGTCTGTGTGTTTTACATAGTACTTTGATTGCTGTTACTAATCGTAGGTTTCAAAAGTCTGGAAAGATGGCGCCACACCTTCTAAGACTACAACGCTTAACCTCACTTTTTTCAAATCATCTTTGATCTTGTCTTTGTTCTGCCCATTCCTTAGAATATTTTTTTCTTACTTCTAAGTAACCGTTATATAAAAACAGCCAACGATATTATCTACAAAATCTGAGAAAAGCGAAATTCATTCACATTAAAAATTCAATTACTTAAAAAAACCCAGCCTTAACAAGCAAACTCGATATGCAGATGTTGAAAGAGCTCATGAATCAGTTGAACATAGAGCAGAAAGAAATACAGCCCATAGAATTTCACAGCTGAAATCCATGCACGAGAAGCACGAGAATCACGAGAACAGCATGATAATCGTCGACAAGAAAATGTCTTGAGAACCAGGGTGGCACGTCAACAAGAAATAATAGATTCATTTAGAGAACGAAACCAAGAAAGTCATCGCACCAACCGTGCAGCCATCCCAGGATCATTTGTTCGTCTTACATTTAATTATAAACCAGACACCAGTTTCTCGGCTGATACCAAAGTTACTATTGGTGCGATGGACAAAATATGCAACTATTGCCAGGCGTTAAAATTTCGCAATCAAGCACCCGACATGTAATGCGCATCGGGAAAAGTTTTATTGTCACCACACCCTACTCCACCTGAACCCTTAAAGTCCCTTCTAAGACACGAAAATTTAATTCTTGCTTCCAAATGACGTCGTTTGTAGCAACCAAAATTTGTGATTCGTCATCTGCTGGTCGTAATTTTCAGATAACATTCATAATTCAAGGCAAGATATACAAGGACCAGGGAAAGGATCTCCGACAGATTGGCAAAAACCATTATTTGGGTACAAGATTAGATCGTGCGTGTGTTTTTATTCCGCAGTTGGGAGTTTTTTCTTATCAATACATTTTATTGATATTTAAATGAAAGACTTTAGGTAGAAAACAAGCGACGCGCACATAAAAAGACGTAGCCAAATCAATAAAATAATATCATAAAGCACGAAACTTAGTATAATATTAGATGATACTTAATAAGAGCTTCTTATCGTTTGAGAACAAAAAACAGAAAGCTACATCAACGTGTAAGCGGGTCTGCTAGTATTAAATATAATGTCATATTTACAGGCCTATTCTCACTGTTACCGGTAAAGTAAATTTTGTTACTTTTCTTTAACACACGAAATTGAATTTGGTATTCTGGCGAACTGGTTACAATGTTTGAACAAAATTTGGCATAACTGCTATTTTCGTCCTTGTCAAATTACAATTTCCATTTGGTAAAGCAAAAAAGAAAAATATTCACATCGAAATGGAAGACGGTGCAAAAAAAAATTGAAAAGTTTTATTAATTTGTTTATTAAATCATAAATATTTGAACCTAATTATGGAAAAAATGCCTGGACAACAAAAAAGCTGAATGAAAACGTTTCCCTGCAAATTAAAAGTGCTATTTGTGTCTCGAAAACTTTTTAAAATACGGATTTTTGCACTTTTTTCTTCATCTTCAATGCATTCCAGGCCTAAACTATGCCAACCCATTTTGGTTTTTATTTTTTCTGAAACTAACAACACAAAATCAAACAGCAGATATTTTTGTTACCTCCTATTTCGCGGGTAACAAAACTTACAGGGTGACAGTGAACTCAGAATACGAAATGGTAACAAAATTTAGTAAATTTTAATATCTAGGTAAATTTTGTTACCTCGACAGAATAGCCCTTTTAAAGTGTCAAATCATGAAATGAATCATTATGAAATCACGTAGCGAAACGAGAAAACGAAGAAAAATTCATTGTAAGCCGTTTATTGGCCGAAGTCCACAGCTAATCACAGATGTTCATCACATCAATATTTTTTTCATTTATTTTACACTTTACTTACTTCGCTGTGATTCCAAAGAACTCCGTATGAAGAACAAAAGAAGTCAACAGTCTCATTTTAAAATCAACACATTTATATGCAAACACATATTCTTTTGCCTGCAGTATATATAGTGTAGTCAACATACAAGATTGTAAAGATTTCAACAATTATCTATATATTTTAATACAATACATCTAAGTTTGAAATGCTCAACATTGTCTCTTTGTAAGCAATCTTGGCTATTTAAAATATCCATATTGCATTATTCATAAGTTCATCATTATGTACAATTTTGTCATATATATTTACATTAAATATCTAAAATATTAATTAATTAATAGATTAAAATAGTAGCTAAATCACAAATCGGTATGGAGTTAATGTAAAAAGCACAGCTAATGGGAATCATAAAACAACAAACATGTACATGTGATTATGTGGTATAACATCGCTGACACGACCTAAGAACTAAATTACAAAGAAAGTACGTTTACTGATTGATTTTGACAATACTATTTTTTTTATCTATAAACATACATACAAATGTATACAAATATTTCTCTTCCAACAGATATAATGAGAAATAATTTCACTTAAATATTATATATATATACAACATATTGTATAATATATATGTACATATATAATAAATATATAATAAAACATCATTTGGTTGCTCTCACTGTCGTCTCTGTGGGAATTCGCAAAATTATCGCATGAGTGAAAAAATATTTTAAAAATATTCACAAATAAAAGACTATTTCGAAACATTGCAAAAAAAAAAAAATAAATACATAATCATCATACACAATTATAATATAACTTACTTAACGATGTAATATTGTTTTACGTTGTAACTTAAAAACTGGTAGACTAGAAATCTATTATGTAGTATTTGTTTGCGGTCACAAATCCCAAATTCCCGCCAAGATGATAACGAAGCGAAATTTCATTGTACTCTATCTAAGTGTATAAAAGTTGATTGTAAATACAAAATGTTTAATAAATAGATGTAAATTTACATATTTATGAATACACATACAAACATATCTACTTTCAGCTGCACTTACATATATGTAATTATACGAGTACTATACATATGTATATTCTAGGCATATGTAAATGTATCACTCTTTTTCATATTGGCACCAGATTCACATCGTATTTATTTATTTAGCTATGATTTGTGGTTTCAAAAATTACAAAAATAACAATTATGAATACAAATGTACAGTTATATATATGTACATATGTACATATAATTGTATACTTCAAATATTACGAGTCCTATGATTGTTGCCATAGTATGTACATATTCAGCATTAAGATACAAATTTAGGTTAGTACATCGCAAGACATTTAACAAACATACACATACATAAACATACATACATGCAAGGATACTCTAAGGGAGATTTGCATTATTCAAACAAAGTTGCAAAAATTCTTCAGCCACTATTCAGAACAAAAGCATCTAATCTCCTTTAAATGAAAATGTTTTCCACTTTCGATTTATGCCAAGTTTTGTTGCTGGACTCATTGCAGTCAAATCATTATCGTCAGGTACATACAAAAATCTATATTATTCTCATGCCACTGTGGCAACCTCACACCACGCCGGTTGAGCTTTTGGTGGCAAACAATGCAATTGCCATTGCATTTTGTACTGGAATTCACACAAACTCCTCATGTTTTTGCAACATCAATTGCAGCTCCGCTTGCCGACTAGATGAGGATGAGCTGCGGTGTTGCCGACTGGAGCCTTGAACGGTAATATTGGTGGTGGTGTAAGGCGCCGAAATACTGTTTTTATACTTCATTGCGCTTTGCTTGCAAATGCCGAATCTGGAAGGAGAAATTCTTTTTCAGAATTATTAACAAAATTAAACACCAACTGTAACGCGATATAAAATGTTAAATAACGCTATTTGCGTCGACACTATGGGCTTACTTGGAGAGCAGAGCATATAGATCCATGCGGTATTGTGATGTGAGTAGCGCGTAAAGATAGGGATCGGCGCAAGAGTTCAGTGGATAAAAGAAGACCAAGAGGATTTTCGATTTAGTCACATTTATAAGTGGATAACCAGCAAGTGCCGTCAAGCCGAAGAAGGCGATCGGTGCCCAGCAAGAAAAATTGGTGAAGACCTGTAAAGAAATTTAAGGGAATTTCTTTGAATATTCGCAGTCTTTGATGAAACCAAACTTTTTCCTAAAATACAATTATATTTATTTTCGTTTTCGTTTGATCGCTGTTAATGCAGTGAATCCCGAACTACTTTCGTAAATTTATACGATTTTTTGTCAACAAATTTGAGTTTATATTATTATTATTATATTTCGAAATATTTTCCAATAAAATATCGATTTTTTGGGAAACCAGTTAAACTATTTGAAAGCAAATATTGGACATTTAAAATAAAATCACAATCAATCAGATACGGTTTTGTTGATTTTGGAATCCTTCTTGTCTGTGTTTATTATACAGCATTATATTGACTTAACATACATACATACATACATACATATACGAGGTGTGTTCAAAAGAAAAGGATAATTTTGAATTTTTTTGAAAAGTATTGATATATACATCAGCATCCATTTTGTCCCCTTCAAAGTTATCCTCCTCAGATATAATCCATTTATGCCAGCGCTTCTTGCAATACTCAAGATACTTGTGAAATCCGCTTTTCGGTATTGGCATCAGCTCGTTCCTCGGGTTTTATTTTATTTTGTGACAAAACGCTTTCCTTTCATTGGTTACTTTCGTTTCGAGACTAGAAAAAAGTCGCAGGGAGCACTAACTGGTGTATACGGTGGTTGAGGCATGATTACGGTGTTGTTTTTGGCCAAAAAAAACCCGAACAAGCATTGATGTTTTAGCTGGAGCATTGTCGTGAAGCAGAATCCATTATTTATTTTTTTTTACTATTCCGATCATTTTAGCCATATGGCTTCTCGCCAACTTAGCATAGCTTTCTTATAGTACCCCTTATTAACCCCACGACCTGCTGGCAAGAATTCATGATGTACAATTTCATTGTAATCGATGAAAACAGTAAGCAAAACCTTAATATTTTAACGAACTTGGCTGTTTTCATTGAGATGAATTGGTCTTGGTTTGAACATCACAACCATATGCACACGTTTCGTCACCAGTTATGACCCATTCGAGCAAATCAGGATCGTCGTTGACGTCATAGCTACTCAGCGATACTAATTCGTCGTTGTCTTCTTTAAATTTTAGCAATTCCGGAATTAACTTTGCTGCCTCAGGTTTCATACCCAAAATATTCTATGGAATCGCAAGGTATGAACAGATTGATATGCCAACATCATCTGCAATCCATTTACGACAACATCTCACGACAGCCGGTTCTACGCACCGGAGTTGACCCGGATTTTATCCGGCCAAAAGCTGTCACCCTTTCGGCGACCTAACCCCTTTGATATATTGCCATTACAATTTTTTTACTATTTGAAAGGTTTTGTCGCTTGCTGGCCTAGCTGCAACTCCAGGACACAAAAGGCTATCAAAACCTTCTCAGCCAATCTTTCAAGTGCTCGAGAGCACTTCATTCCATTTTTAACGCAAAATTTAATACAAATTGTTTGATTTACTTTTTGAAAAACGTGACTAAACTTAAAATTCAAAATTTACTTTTTCTTTTGAGCAGACCTTGTATGCAAAAGCACTTACCAATAAAGCCATCTTCTTTGCAACAGTCATCTCGCCCCGATGTGTGCTATGTGCATGGCGCGTCTCTTCGCCAAGAGACATATACATTTGGGCATAACAGACCGTTATGATGGAGAATGCAACACCATTCGAGCCCAATATGATGACCAGGAAAGCCGTATCATATACATCACTTATCTCCATCGGCAAGCAGATACTATAAATATATTAAAACACACAGGCATACACACACACAAGCATCAGTTTATAGTTTGAGGCAAATTTGTAATTAAAAGCTATCACAATGATAATAAAATATCCATGAAATACAAAGGTTATCTTATTTGCATAATAACGAATACGTATGGATAAATATATGGATACATATCAGAATATTTAAGTATGTGTGCAGATGAGATTCGGATAATAATATTAATGGTTTCTTATTTTATGGAGCCGCACATGCATTTATGAAGCTATTTATGTGTATAAGATTTTCGTGTCATTCGAACAAGCTTGACCGATTGTTATGAAATAGTAGATCAGAGAAGATACGTCCTCTTCTATATTTGTAGCCTTTTCCTTACACTACCAGGGACCAGGAACAAATTTCCGACAGATTCAATGCGTCCAAGAGATTAATCCCCAGCCAACCACAATTCATACAAAAATGTGATCTAATTATTTACTATATACCCCACCTCTGCATTACATATAAGTAATCCAAGGAGTGTATTCCACAAAAATCTGGAGCTCTACAGTGGGTTTCATTATGGAGCGTACACATACATACATATTTCACTTTGTACATTTGACCCAATTTCGTTTTATAAGCGATCAATAAAATACGAGCAATCGTCGACTAACAACGGCCCATTTGGTCAGTACATGTTTGCAGGAAAGCGACATACACATATAAATATTATTGATCCAACGTCCTAATGGTATATGTAAGTGATCCACATGATCGCTGCTCAATTTAAGATAATTTCGATAGAAGTGTCTAGAAGTAAGCCAACGAAAACATTCGTATCTAGGCTTATTCATAATCAAGCTGGCATGCAGCCGCAGAATAACAATCTGGTGATCACTTTTCCGCAAAGAAAGTAGTATTTACATTTTGAGCAAATCGAACTTGGCCCCAGATCTCTGGTTCATTTCCAGGAATCATCTAAAAGTTTGACTAAAACTATCCATGAATATGTATATTTTTAAAACTGATCGATTCACAGTAGTCTTATTTTTAATACAGGTAAAAGACCACTTATGTAAAAAATTTCCCCAAAATCGAACCATAAATGGTTTTTTTCGAATAGATTTGCACCTAGTCCACTTCCCAAAAAAAAAATTCTTCATACAAAATTTTCCAGAAACAATCTGACAAAATTTCAAGTGAGACTATAATTATTTTTATGTATTATATACAGACGGATTCTTTAAAAAAATCTTTTGCGTCTTTCGTTAACTTTAAATAGTCTTCAACTTTGCTCCGAAGTATGTAGATAACAGGAGGGGAAGAGATAGACCGATTAATGTATACCGATATGATCAGAATGACGAGTAGATTTGACTTAGTCATGTCCGTCTGATCATCTATGTTTCTAATACCCTGCCAGTTAATATTTTTTGTATAAATGTCCCATGCAACATATATGCTCAGATATTTTGGACCATAAAATAAAGTATACATTGGTACCGAAGATCTCCGATATCGGACCACTATGTCATATAGCTTCATACAATAGATTTCATCAGATATGCCAACTGGAGTCGGAAATCCATCTAAAAAGCATTTACAATGCGGTTTTCTTCCTCGAAATCGGAGGACAATATCATATAAGGTTAATATTTAATCCTAAATGCAATACCTTAAATTTCATGGTCACGATAGTTCGGAAATTAATTCCCACTCAACTGAAGGTTGGATTGAAAATACTTTCATAAATTAAATCTGAAAACGCCACATCGATCCGACTCTTTGGTAAAAATTTACGTGGGATCGAAAGTCTCAAAATCGAATTTCAGCGGTTTTCAGTAAAACGGTTAGTTTATTAAATCTCTTAATAACAATTCAAATAATTGGATCAATTGTACTCATATGTATGAAATTCTTTGTCCTGAATGACTGTCAGAATAACGCATAGCCTGGACTGCATATTGGGGGAGGAAAAATTGCATGCGACAACGTAATATACCGATGATTGTGCGAGGCGATTACTCAATTCATTTATCTTCTTAAGCATTTACACGTATATATACAATAGAAAAGTGAGTTGATAACAGTTCCTGAAGTAGTTGTGTGAAGAAAATTTTATGCTCTGCATATATATTTTATGTGAGTATAAAGTCAAAAATGATATATATTTAGCAAAACCAGTTGAGTTATCCTTTATTTAGCCCTTGTTCGGTTTTTATCTAGGAGATGATATTATTGTCCTTAGTACTAGTATTGCGTGTCGCATCATGTAATATAGTTTATGGGATCGATACTGTAAACGAACGTGTAGCACAAAAGTGGTTTACTAAGTTACGTTCCGGTAGTTTTGATGTCAAAGATGCACTAGGCATCGGGAGGCCTGTAGTCGAAAATTGCGATAAAATCACGGAAATAGTGGAAACAGGCCGTCACGTAAGCACTAAATTAATTGCTGAGGAACTAAAGATAAGCCAGAAACCCGTTTGGAACCATTTACATAACCTTGAATTCAAAATGAAGCTCGATGTTTGGGTGCCACACGAACTAACGCAAAAAAACATGATGGACCGAATTTCCATCTGCGAATCGCTGCTGAATCGCAACAAAAACGACCCATTTCTGAAGCGGATTGTGCCTGGCAATGAAAAATGGGTCACTTACGACAACATCGAGCGCAAACGCTCGCGGTCAAAGTTCAGGGAAGCGTCCCAGACGGTGGCCACTCATCCAGAACAGGCAATCTTTGATCTACAGAGGCCGACTTGAGTTCCATCAGGACAACGCCAGTCTTTGGTGACGCGCCAGAAGCTCGGATGAGAGATCCTAATGCACTCATATTATTTTTCTGTCCATGGCGAACGCGCTTAATTATGAGAAGTTGACCTCAAAAGAGGCCTGTGAAAATTGACTCTCCGAGTTTTTTGTCAATAGGAACGCAGCCTTCGGCGAGAGGAGTATAATGAAGTTAGCATCTCGTTGGCAGCAAGTTTACGAACAAAACGGCGCATATTTGACTTAAATCGGACAAATGTAAACAAAGTTGTCATATTTTGAAAAATCAATAAAAAAAGCCGAACGAATTTTTTACTCGACCTAATATTAATAGCTTTTGATGTCAGAGATTTATTTTGAAGCTTGTCTCCTATTAACTTTACAAAAGATGGCGCTTGCAGCCTAAATTGGTTGAATTTCATTGAGTTCTTTCAACAAATATTGCGTTTTTTGAACAAAAGTTCGGCTGCAAATAAAACAAGTTAAAACCTCATTTAAAGATTTATAAGCAGCAGCAACCCCTTCTCTGGTTAAGGAGCCGTTTTCCACTCTACAAAAAGCAATACCTTCTATAGTGCCTGACACATATAGTTCCCAATTGGAGACAACGTGCAGCAGACAACTAAAAGCGTCATTCTTCATCATAAACCGCAAGCCATAATTAACCCACTACGGTGGTTAAGGGTTTGGTTAGTAACTGTAAATGGTGTACATGATTGTGAATCAGTGTTCGTATATTAAACCGTAGAGCACAAATTAGCATTGTGGGTGTATATATATGTATATGTGAATATATAATGGCATAACGTATGTATGCTTCTACTAAATAAATGTATGTACACGTATGTGTGTAGTATATTGGCACTCACCTCGTCGAAGAATAGTTGCTGATACCGAAGAGGGGCATCGACGACATCAAAATAGAATACACCCAGCCGGCAGACATAATAAAGCAAGCAGCCCGAAGCTTAATGCGTTTATTCAAATGCATTGCATGTGTTATGGCCATCCAACGTTCGATGGTAATGACCGTCAGTGTGAAGACCGACAAGTGGCTTGCGAAAACAGTTAAAAACCCAGCTACTTTACATCCGGCACCTGCAACAATGTGAAATATTTTTAGAATGCCATTAGTCAGCAAATCTGGGTTTAGTCTCGCGGTTGCAGATATTTCATTTTAACCTTGTGGCCTAGAAGCGCTTTACTTTAGGTTGCAATGGTTGATTGGCTGTGTAAATAGTTAATCAGATATTATATACTTTTTATCTAGCACCGCCGTAGGAATGGTTATTTCAAAACAATGTCGAGCATTCAAATGTCGAGTACTCGCACTTCTGCTTCAGCAGGCCACTTTGAACTTTTTCGAACATTTCGAACAGAAACTAATTAACTTTTTTTATGTTTTGTTTCGAGCTTTGTTTAAACTTTTAAATTATGCTAAGGAATATCGTCAAATTAAATTTAAAATTTTTGTTTGCTACTCGATTTTTATATTTGCGTTGTTGAACAATGAGCGAGTATCGAGCTGTTCGAGCTTTTCAATGCATGGATACCTAAAGCTCTCTTCGAAAAACAGCTAACTACGCTACATGCGAATGCTATGAAAAATGGGGCGCCAGGATATCGCTTTAAATTTACATACGCAAAACTTTTTTAATTACACTATATCCGAAGAGTGGGGAAGTATATGTATAAATATATAAATATATAAATAATGCACTTAAAATAGCCACCGTTATACAACGGTATTTATGTACATACCGTACTGCCAGTCATAGGCGTGATTGAAGTAGGCGCCCATGGAATGCGCATCTATAGAAGCTATAAGCAGCAAATACAACCCCAAGCATAAGTCAGCAAATGCCAAATGACCCATTAGGAAACGCGGCACCGATGGTGTGTCTGACCTGTTAATCAATACATTGAAATTCGTAAATCGGTAAATTAAAATTTCAATAATTTTGTATGCAACTATAATTTACTCAAATATTCGTGAAATCCAAAAAATAATTTTAAGAAAATTTAAGAAATAAATGGAATGGAGAAATAAATCACTATATATATATAATATATATATATTTATATACCTATATACGTCGCCATAAATTCTCTTTTATTCACATATGTTTTACACTTACCTTATTGAAAGAAATACCACAAGCACGGCAACATTGCCCACCACCGCCAGGGTTACAACAATCCATACAGAAATTCGAAGCCATTGATAGCCCATAACGTCTTCACAAGGGTTAAGTGCGTTCGCCATGGGGTAACATTCCACTACGTGCTTTCTAAAAGAAATTTTTTCGATTATATAAGTATCCACTATTTGTATATTTAAAATATTGAAAGGCAATCCCAATGTCTAAGCCAATTACCGCCAATCACCGTGGGATAAGCCTTCTTAAAATCGCATATAAGATCCTATTGAGCGTTTCTTGCGAAAGACTAAAACCCACCGATAACAACCTAATTGGATCTTATCAGTGTGGCTCTAGTGTTAAATATTGGAAAATACCAGTGAAAAGAAGATCGACACACACCATTTTTTGGTAGATTTTAAAGCTGCCTCCGACAATACGAAAAGGAGCTGCCTCTAGGCCGCTATGTCTGAATATTGTACCAACTCAATACGAATAGAGATTTTAGACAGACTTCTTTAATTTACACCTGGAGGAGATGGTCCTCAATGAAATGAGCTGCAGAGCTGAATAGAGAGATGGAATCTTCTATTAGGGGGTACAGCTGCTGGCGTTCTTCGGTGATAATTACATCATTGGTCGCAGCAACTGCCAACAGGCGATACTTTGGACTGAGTAGGCAAGTAAAAAGTAAAGTCCTCTCTCGTCGAACGAAAACCAATTTCTACATTTCGATAAGCGTCCTGCTATATAGTACGGAGGCATGGACGTTGACAACATCTCATGAGTCGGCATTAGAAGTTTTCGAGAGAAAAGTTTTGCTTACGAATTAGTTCAGCGAATCAATAAAAAGCAACTGCGCTGGCTATTTAATGTGGTCCTGATAGATAAGAATACTCCGGCTTTGAATGTTTTCAATGCAGTACCCGCCGGTGGAAACCGAGGAAGACCTCCGCTCCATTTGAAAGACCAGGTAGAGAAGCATTTGCCTATACTGGGTATTTTCAATTGGCGCTAAACTGCGAAAAGAAGAAATGAATGGCGCTACTTTGTTAACTCAGCTATAATCGAGGTGATGATGTCTACGCCAGTTAAGAAGTGCCTACAGTTTTGTATTTTGTGTGGCCGGCTGTGGCCGTTGCTTTAGCAGATGGCTTACGCCTTGTAATATTATATAAAATATATTTTACTTGCCTCTGTGTGCCTTATCTTATTCGATGCACTTACCGAAATGTAAAATTGCCACAATACTCGTCGGTTTGAATGACATCTGGATTTATGGTGACCTCTGTATGAAAGGTGCCAAAGTCTTCGGCGAAGTAATCGCTCATCTCTTTTTCAGCCGGCAACTCTTCATTGTTCACAGCGAGGTCAGTTCGTGCAAAACTGCTGCTAATGGTAAGTAAAAAAAATAATAAAATCTCATTAAGAAATGTATTTATAGTTAGAAAAATACGTATGTACGTGTATATACTTATAATGTGTTCTTATACTGCACTGAGGTATTTCAAACAAAAAATTTGAAATTTTGTAATTAAATAATTTTTTTTTTTTAAATTCTTGTAAATAAACATTTTATTGGGTAGATATTTATTAAAGTCAACGCACCTGTAGAAAACTCCTCCACCATGCACTGGACTCATCCCACCTCCATTGGTGCCCCAAATATTCCCATCGATGTCATTCTCAGTCTCCTTTAATCTCTCTATCTTATCACTGATTCCTCTTCCGGTGGTAATTTCTAACCAATCACCACTGCCATTGTTATTGCCATTCTTTTTGCAGCGCTGCTGCCACTTTTCAATTTCCTTCATTCTCTCAGCATGTCGAAGGGGATCGTGGCGCGAAGGAAATATGAATGCGCAACAATGGAAGGAATGTGTCAAAAATGCTCTTTGTAAATTCTGCCGTTATGTATGAGCATTTCAAAATGAAAATAAATTCAAAAAAATCATTTAGACCTTTTTACAAGTAATCAAATGGCGAATCAAAGTAACTTAGAAAATACGAAGGGGGAATTATAATCACCTTAAAGTTATAAATGGATGGAATTGTTTTAAGCGTCTGGACAGCTTCAATGCGTAATTCTTCAATGTCCTGCAAGCCAACTGACGGTAAACTCACCAATGAAGTGCGGGAGAGGTCTCTATGGAGATTATTTGATATTATTTTATTTTATAAAAATATGCTTTAGAGCGAATCGAAATTTGCAAATGAAAATACTTACTTACATAGAAAAAAACTTGTTTAAATATACTAAATTAAAAGACAAAACTATAAACAATAGTAACCAAACAAGGATATACCAATTGGAGATAGTTACATAATCACAAGGTCGTGGAAATATTAGGTGTACAACTTTGCTTCCGCCGTTTTCCGTTAGGTGGCTGTACCGGCTGAGGCTGGTTGAAATATATAGATGATAATGCCTTTAAAGTGAGTGTGAACAGTGCCTAACGAATTGTCAACGACGTTTCAGTGACAGTTGTTCTTGTTTTCGTAGTATTCACGCTCGAAAATGTCCGTTTATGTGCCTAATTCTCGCCATTTGCGGGAAGTTTTACTTTTCTGTTACAATTCGAATAAAAATGCAGCTGAAGCGCATCGAATGCTCTCAGAAACTTACGGTGATGCTGCTCTGAGTGAAAGAATGGGTCGGGAGTGGTTTCAACGTTTTAAAAATGGTGATTTCGATGTCGAAGACAAACATGGTGGTGGAAGAGAAAAAACCTTCAAAGATTTACTACGAGCTCTTAAAACCGGGTGAAACCATCACAGGAGATCGCTACCCAACGCAACTGATGCGCCTTAGTCGCGCGCTAAAAGAAAAGCGGCGCCAATATCAAGAGCGACATGACAAGGTCATCCTTCAACAAGACAATGCTCGGCCTCACGTCGCAAAAGTGGTCAAAAAATACCTGGAAACGCCGTATTCCCCAGATGTCGCCCCTTCTGACTTCCACCTATTCGCTCGGCAGATCAACAGAGGAATCCTTTTTTCGAGCCGGGATCCGAAAATTGCCGGAAAGATGGGAGAAAATTGTCGCTAGCGAAGGACAATACTTTCAATAATATATCTGTAAACACTTTTTCGCAATAAAGCTTTAAATTTTGGAAAAAACGGCGGAAGCAAAGTTGTACACCTGATATAAAGAACATATGGCAGCACCAAGCTGGGAGAGTCAGCAGCTTTCAAATTTTTTAAAAGGTTTCAGGGTTTGTTTGATCTACGAACGAAGGTAGGGTGAATCCGATGAGTAGCTCTGATATCGGTTAAAAATAAAAGTTGTTCTGAGTATTGGCTGAACTGTGCATATGTATATATCAAATTCCAACCGAAAGGTCGAAGGTAAAAATTTCATATTCAACATATATTTATATTAAAGGACATAAAACAGCCAGTCAGACAAGAACGGCTGCCGATATAACACAACGGCTCTTTAGGTCCTTCACTGTAACAATTGCTGATGATACAACTCTCTTTCCGTCCACCTAAATTCCCCAATATGGTTTTTAAATATCTCAAGAAACTTTGCCATGCTGACACCTTATGAAGTCAATCGGCAGGCATCACAGTAGACTAGATTATAGTCTCTAGTCATAGCAGTCGGAAGTTATCATATTCAACAGACTCATTGATATAGTGAAGAATGAGAAAATTTTCACGAAAACCGCTGCCAATAAATTTGGAAAAGGGGTTTCATGCTTTCAACATAAGAGCTTTTTTGCAGGTATTCCTACAAATTAATATATACATATATACTTAAGTTCGAAAATGTTAATACGTTTAAGAGGCTTTTACAATTACATATGTATGTGTACTTACAGTACATGAATGCTTATCCCATTAAAAGCATTTGGATGTACTTCCTTCAGATTACGATTTTGCCTTAAAATACTGAAATGAAAGAGTTTTAGTTTTGCTTTGAAGATGTCTTCTTTTCATAGTGATAAACTATTCATATGCAAATGTCAGAGTTGTACTTACAGTGTTGCGATTTGTGAACCATTAAATGCGGAATCGTCAATGTAGCTTATAGCGTTATTTGCTAAAATTCTGAACAAATAAAAATCCGAAGTGAAATATGAATATTAGAATACATATTATTGCACTTACAATTGATCAGTCTTAACATTGATGGAATTCTTATCGATTCGAGCTATTTCATTACTGTCGAGATCACTGAAAGTATTTTAATGGGAACTCCATAATTATCATATTATTTAATTAATACACAAATGAATTGAAAGTTTGAACTCACATCATTTGTAAAATGCTTGTAGGTGGAATATGCCATAAATCTGGAACTCTTATAAGACCACTATTTATTATTCGTCTGAAAACCATATTGATAGTAAGTTCGGAAGATTAGTTAGATATGTGAAAATAGAGCTGAAAGTGGTATTTAACATAAAATAAAGCTGATCCCTCTCCCTTCCTAAGAAACGGCCCTACCCCGCCCAATCGAACGAGGGTTTGTTACACACTTCTTTTCGTTTACTACTACAAATTCATTAAAAAAATATTTATTTTAAGCCAATAATGGTACCCAGTAGAATTCTTGGAACTCCTGGTGCTGACAAACATCTAAGCTTGCAATAATGCAAACTGTCGAATATCAACCAATCACTTCGAGTTTATCATCTAATGGACACTTTAAGTTTATGGCTTAACCAGAGGACAGGAGTTGCACCACCAAAGCAAACAGAAATTCACACTGTGGTGCTCTTCGGGTTTCGGCGTAATTTACAGCCAATGAAAATATTCTCTAAATGCCAAATTGCATATTGAACGATTGCACCATCTTTAAAGACCATTTCTAGGTGGTTCGGAAGATTTCAGAGCGGACATATTTCCGTAGAGCACGAGCCTCGAAAAGGTCGACCAAAATCTTCCGTTGTTGACATCACTGTAGATCTGATGAAGTCCAGAAAGGATTGCTAATTAATTGGGTTGAATGACATGGCTGTATCGCCAATATTAAGTAATAATCTGGAATACACAAAGAAATCGGCTCGAGGGTAAAACGAATTTTAATTGAGGCCCAAAAAGGGGCTCGTATACATTCTGCTAAATTTTTCCTAAAAGAATTCGCAAATGGTCAGTCTGGCAACTTTATTAAATTTGTTACTGGTGACGAAGCTGGGTTCTATAAGTTCGATCCCGAAACCAAACAGAAATCCATGGTATGAAGCCCAACACGAGCAAACCCACCCTTAAAATCTGAGCAATATAAATCAGCAGCAAAAGTAATGATGCCATGTCTGGATACCTTACAGGGTAGTCTGCCATCATTAACCGGAATATTCATTGAATATCATTGAAAAATTTGAATATCTTTTTTTATGACAATTTCAATCACAAAAGGCTTGGTGGCCCACGCTTATATGTTTTTATAACATACTCGTATGTTTTTAATTGACATACGTACATACAATTTAAATATGTTAGTATGAATCTAGCTTATTTGAATTGTGTTTGCACTTTTACTGAAGAAATATTTATGTCGACACTTTGAACAAAGCTTGTAAAATTCAAAATTAAAATAAAGCATTATGTAATGGCTGCATGAAAATATTGTACTCACATTATTTTAATAGTTTCCGAAATGCCTAGGAAAACACCCCGACTCAGGGTCTTCAATTTCGGAGCATTGGAAATGTAGCTGAAAATAAAAAATAAAACAATATATTTATGGAAAAGGGATTAAATTTATTTTGATTTGCATTTTTTCATAAATCATTTTGAAATATTCTGATCGAAAAACTCAAAAGTATTTTTATAACATTTTTACAGTATGTTTTATTTTCATGGATAATCTTAATGACAGGCATTTTGCATTGGCCTAGGTGAAATGAAATGAAAACACCCTAACTGCATCGTTTTTATATATCTAGAACTATCAACCCCATTATGTATTTCGACACTTATTGAAAATTTGTCCGCATGGCAGATATGGTATTAAGCACTCCGTTCCGTTTCGATTAAACTTCGATACTTACGATTCAATCCCATTCTTTCTTAATAAAACAAAAAATATGCTGGTACGCAAACTAGTCCCTCAGTTTCTGAGCTTTTTCAATCGAACTTGGTTTACTGGTGCATGGCCACCGAGTGAAAATTTAGTGCGAACTATCAGATTTGAGATTTTGGGTTACAAATTTGTCAAAAAAGCATCTATGAACGTAAACTTTGGTAGATATTCTGGTGCTGAAGATTATTGAAATCGGAGGACTACATCATATATAACCCATACATCGGTTTTTTTTTTTCCCCTGCCGAGTGGCAACCAGAAAATCAGAAAATTTAACTTAATTTTTCATTTAAATGAATTTTTTGTACTACAACTTTTGGATGTTGGTCGCACGGGATTTGAACACTGGACTTCCAAATGCCAGTAGGTAATGCTAGCCACTCGGCTACTGCGGCCGCCAAAAAAGCATCTGCATCCTATATACATACGAGTACAAAATACAAATAATTATTATCACAGATAATCAGAGAAATCGGAGCAGTATTTCACATAGCTCCTATACGACCGATTTTTTCAGATGTAAAATCTCATCTCTGGATCAAAACCCTAACAAAAGAAGCATCTAAGAGCATGAAATTCTGTGTTATTAACAAGTAAAAAATCGCGAGCGACTTTAAAATTAAATTAATTATGATCTATTTAATATTTTGGAATAAAATAAGAAGTATTAGGTCTAGTAATCCATGAGCCCAACAAATATTTTCAACTCGTCCAACGTACACGAGAGGCGACATCCTCATAAAGTACGGAATATGCCGAGTAATGTTTGGGAAGTGTCGAGATTTAAAACATTTTCAGCTACAGAAAATATAATTACTCAACAGCTGAAATTTAGTGATTATGGAATTTTAAAATTTAATTGTTGAGAGAAGCAGGAATAGTTTTTTTTATCCTAAAAAGTGCGTCTAACGGGTCGAAGGTACTGGAAACAAAATTAAAATTGTGAAAAGGTTCATTCAGCGTATAATTTGTTCTACATTAATTTAATAGTAAAAGTCCAAACTGCCTAGATACACGAGTTGGAGCATTAAAGTTTACCTCAGACTATGAACATGCTCGATAACTTTTTGCTATTTTCAATATAATGTCCTTATATGTATTGGTTGTATGCATTAATTCGCGCGGTTTTTTTTTTCGAAAATTAAGACTTTATTGTGACGAAAGGATTTTAATCGCCTCGAAACGGTTGCTTAATCAACTCTTAATACTTTTGCAAGTTCTTCTTGCGTCTGGCATGCATCTGCGTCGAGCAATGCCTCCAATTCTTCGTCTTAAAAATTTTCAGGCTGTCCGGGTCGTTCTCCGTCGTCTAAGTCGAAATTGCCACTTTTAAACCGTGCAAACCACTTTTGGCACGTTCGTTCGTCTAAAGCATGGTCACCATGAGCGTTCCGTAAAACACGATTGCTTTCGGTAACACTTTATCTGGTACAAATTTCGACATTTCCAAATGAATGAAACAAATTGTTGTTCACGCTAAAACAAATGACATCTACTGAAAACGAAGCGAATGAATTTTTCACCAGAACAATCGTCGTAGGCAGGAACAGATGATAATCACTTGGTGTGAGTGTAGCGAGTCTCACTGAGTAGTCTCGTCCTTTGTTGGCCTAAGACGGTCTAATTGCTAAGAATACTGATCCGAATTAAGATTCTGAGCTTAGGCGAGCAGCTCATAGTGAATGCTACCACACCTTCGTGTTGGTAATACTTTCAATGAATTAAAAAAAAGCTTAAGAGAAAATTCGTACAACTAATGGAAGCTGCTAGTACTCGTAAAGATATATATATATATGTATATCTGAAAACTGCTCCTCAGCTCAACTCCTGTTTCGCTTTATATTTTATTTCATTTTGACCTAAAAAAATATCCTTGTATACTTACATGGTGCGTAACAACATGAGACCTTCAAAAGCTCCATCCTCTATGCACTCTAGATGCTGCACATCCTTGAGCACACTAGTAAAATATATAAATAATAATAAGTATTCAAGTGAAAAAAAATATAGCATGCAGTTTTGTTTTGTAATTCTTCTACGTACAAATCCAGCAATGATGCGGAATACTTTTTTAATCCTGTTGTACGAACCCGCGGCAATCCCGCCGACGCAATACTGAGCCGTTGCAACGATAGTGTAAGCGTTTGTGGCACCCGCATCAAGGCTTCTCCCTCACAATGGCACTCAATTTCATCCTGGAAAGTAAACAAATAAAATGAGTAAATTAAAATGTGTATATAATGTAAATTGTTATGTAATTAAGGTAGTCAAGTATTATTAAAATACTTGTGTTGCAAATATCTTAAGTGGGTGTAGAAATAACTCTGAAGAGTTTATTTAATTAAAACAAGGTAAGAAATAACAGCTTCGAGTGGAGCCGAATGTAGGATACCCAGTTGCAAATCAAGTTCGAAGTCTGAAGAGAGTTGATCATACTCAAACCGATTTGTCGTTACAAATTAAACTAAAAATACTTTATTAATATTCAAGTTTCCTTGAAAGGGAAAGGAAAAGGTCTGTTTAGTACCAGTAGCTCAACCAGCTAGTACGACCGATCTATGAGAGCGCCATGTAAATGAGAAATCATAAGCGATCTGATATTTTCCCCCTTATGGCCGACTTAGCTAATTCCTTATTATTGATATTCTATATTTAATAGGGTTTAGAAGAATATAAGTATGTATGTATGCACACTGGAAGCTGGCGACATCTCACCGTTACAAGCAAAGTTAAACTAGGCTTTTGGCAATTTGACCTTCTATGGCCGGAAGATATGGTAGGTATGGAATAGCGCAGGATGACTGCTTGCAATTAAAACATTTCATTTATATACATACTTGATTTTAGTAATATACATATGTATATATGACAATATATTATATCATGTTATCTTTATTACAAATGAAATTTACCCTGAGAACACAATGCAGTCGGTTAAAAAGATTCTTTCGTAGCAACTGTGCAGATGTTTGTATAAGCCAAAGCCGTAAAAAAGAAATTACTGTTTATCCAGGAGGCCTTCGAGAATAGATATATGTACATGCATATGTACTTATGTTTACGAGAAAAACGCTTGTGTAGGGGGCACTATGGTGATTAGCCTCAGGTGAAGCAGCTTGATGATGTGTGCGTCTGCTGCAACCACTGCAATATGCTTAGGACTATAAACTTGTATTTCGTAAAAACGCACGCTCTTTTAAGTAGGGTATCTTCTTCTTATTCTTTTTTAGGAGCGTAGACCCCGCTTACTCAAGTATAGCCGTTGTGCCAGTCATTCTTTCTTTTCCCTGTTTGGAAATACCAAATACAGCAAGATCCTTCTCTGTCTGGTCTTTTCCCTACCTCTGCTTCTACCTGCGAGTATTGCTTCGAAAACTTTCACACCTAAAGTTTTCTTACCCATCCGAACTAAATGACCCATCCAACGTTGCCGCTGTCTCTTGATTCGCTGAACTATGTCAATATCGTCGTATTACTGGTAAGTAGGGAATATTTTATCCTTTGTTCAAAAAGTGAAAATTATCGTTATTTTTTTAATGCCTCGCATGCAATCATAGCTACAGGCAACGCCAACGCATTCTTTCTATTTTTAACCGACGAAAAATAAAGTTCTCAATTCGTCGCGTATTTTTTTTTTGTTGTCCATAATCTCGCATAACTTTTTACAGAACGGATTTTTATTGGAATGGAATGGTCCCGCCGTTAGTTGGAAATAAACTTTTAGCAGAGGGTTTCGAAAGCAAAGATGCTTCATTGATTTCAACGTATATCCCGCAAATCCTGTTACCACGTAGTGCGTTCGCAATTGTTTTTCCTTTCATAGACAGCGCATTTGGATCCACATAACATACCGTAAGAGTGAAAAAATGGGTGTAACAAGAAATGAAGTATGTTGTAATAAGTAGATTAGGGTCATAAAAAAAAGTGAAAAGCAAAAACTAACATTTTTTTATTTAGCACTAATAACTAAATTTTTAAAATAATGTAAGTACATATACCTTAATGATTTTAAGTCGGCGCTCAAAATCTTATGAATAGAAATCTCTAAAATATGTTATATTTACAGGCCTATTCTGTCGGGGTAACAAAATTTACCTAGATATTACCACTCAGTAAATTTTGTTACCTTTTCGTATTCTGAGCTTGTAAATTTGGTTACCAGCGAAATAGGAGGTAACAAAAAAATCTGCTGTTTGATTTTTTGTTGTAAGTTTCAGAAAAAATAAAAAACCAAAATGGGTAGCCATATTTTAGGCCTGGAATTTATTGAAGATGAAGAAAAAAGTGCAAAAAGCCGTTTTTTAAGAAGTTTTCGAGACAAAAAATAGCCCTTTAATTTGGGAGATAACGTTTTCATTCAGCTTTTTTTGTTGTCCAGGCATAATTTCCATAATTAGGTTAAAATATTTATGATTTAATAAACAAATTAATAAAACTTTTTAATTTTTTGTGCACCGTCTTCCTTCAGTGCTGCCAAATTTTGTTCAAACATTGTAACCAGTTTGTCAGAATACCAAATTCAATTTCGGGTGTTAAAGCAAAGTAACAAAATTTACTTTACCTGTTAATGAAATATTCAAATCAAATTAACAATAAATCTTAAAATCTTTAGCGATAAACACCTCTTTTGACCCAATTTAAACTGGTTGTGCTGGATTTCCTTGACTTTTCTTACTTTGAGTGGTTGTATGACCGCAATTAGTAAATGAAAATATTGTCTGCAAAATAATATTGACTCAAAATTGATTAGATGTACTTAAGAATTGAGTGTATTTATTCATGCTAAATAAAAAATTTATTTTTTTTAGTTATTCAGCAGTTTTATTTTATTAAAACACCTTTTACTAATAATTAAAATCTTATTCTCTGGTATATGATAATACTAGCAAAATTAAATTATTTCAATTTAATTTATTCACACTTGAATTAGTATTTTCCTCTCATTTTATGACAATAGAGAGAACAAAATTCTTCAGTATTTTGAATGTTTACTTGCGCTCCTATATCAAGAAGTAGAATTCTATACTTTCTGTCTGGGCAACAAATTTTAAACACACGGAATTCATTTATATTTTTTGTTTTTAAGTATGACTGGTAGTAAAAAATATGATTATAAAAATCTGTTGGTCCAAATTTTATGTGCAGTTTTCCCTGATGAAATCTTTCTCCGCAGTCATCCGTTCCAGCATTTCAGTTCTCAGGGAAAAAAAATTAAGTGTAAGTCTAGAACCTGAATCTTGAGGGAAATGTTGCAACCCTAAAGTTTAATACAACAACAGTGCGTTTAAGTTATAGCTATTTCGGAAATCACTCGTTTACTCATCAGCGGACACCCCAACTGAAATTGATCCGAACTTCGGATATCTACAACACGAACCAATGATAAAACCATTATTATCGTATCGGTCGACTTAATTTATTTTTGTTTTTCTTCTTTGTTTTTCATATACACGATGACGTGTAGATTTCAAACTTGTCGGTATGTAGTTTTTTGTGAAAATTTGCTAATAAATTTTATTTCACTGTTAGAGAAAATATCATTCGGATGACAACCTGGTCTCATTAGAGCAAAATCGATATATGCATTTATTCATCATATATTAATAATCATACGCAGTAAAACTATTTAGTCGAAACAGCTTGACGGGCAAGAAGTTGATCTTTGTCGTAGTTGTCAGTTTTACCAGGAGAGCGTTTATCAATGGTATGGAGAATTCTATGAAGTCGGTGGTCGTAGGCTATTTCAAGGCAAATTTTGTGGAAATCAGCCTACACAAAGAAAAGGGGCGAATAGGCTGAGGCTGATCGCCTTCGCCGGGGCCCGAAACATTGTTCTCTGTAGCACTAGATTACAGCGCAAAAAAATTCACCAGGCTACTTGGCTGTCTCCAGATAGAAAAACACAAAACCATATCAATCATGTTGTGATATACGGATGATATGTCTCTAGTATTCTTGACGTGCGTTCACTCCGAGGACCCAACATCGACTCGGACCATTATCTTGTTGCGGTGAAGATACGAATGCGATTCTGTGTATCGAAGAACCCCCGTCAACAAACACAAGGAAAGTTCGACGTTTAAATCACAACAATCACCACAGACTGCCGAGCGGTTTTCTACTGGACTTGCATACCTGGTCTCTGACAGCAGTTATCAGCAAGCTGGTATACGGGAACTGAGGGACGGTATCTCGAACTCCCTACGTACAGCTGCAGACGAAACTACTGGATTTTGAAAATTTCGCAAAAACAGCTGGTACGATGAGGACTGCCGTGTCGCAGTGGAGGAACAGACTGCCTACCTCGCAACCTTGCGATCGATCACAACACTTGCAAGGTGCTAAAGAGGGAGGCAAAACGCATTTGCGGAGAAAAAAGGAAGAGGCCGAAATGCGTGAGTATGAGGAGCTTGAGAAGTTGACCCACAAGGAAAATGCTCGAAAATTCTACGAAAGGATAGGTCGGCTTACAGAAGGTTCCCAGACCGGAGCAAACTTCTGTTGGGCCCAGAGATTTAAGCTAGTGATGCATTGTTTACTGAATTTATGGAGGGAACATTTCTCCAGCCTGCTGAGAAATTGAATCACTCGGAGAAGGTGAACCCGAAACTCCAATTGATGACGTTGGAAAAGTTGTTCTATTACCCGACTATGAAGAAGCTCGAACAGCAATCGCCCGCTTAAAAAGCAACGAAGCGGCCGGGACCGCCCGAGCTATTTAAATACGGCGGTGAACAACGGATGAGGTGCAGATTCAGGAAGGACCTTTCCGAGCCGTTCGATACCAAACGAGGTTTCAGGCTAGGTGACTGTTTATCTTGTGCCTTTTTTAACTTAATGCTGGAGAAAATAATACGAGCTGCACTTCTGAATAGAGAAGGTATAATCTTCTAAAGGAGTGCACAGCTTGGCCTCAACAACCGCGCCGTGAGTTCTGCTTTCTCCACACTTGATAAAGAAGCGAAGCGAATAGGTCTCATAGCGAATGAGGGCAAGACGAAATATCTCCTGTCATCAAACAAACAGTCATAGCCTTCGCGATACGGCCCACGTCACTACTGACAGCCATAACTTTGAAGTCGTAGATAACTTCGACTACCTAGGAATGGATATCGATGCAATACCTGCTGTTATTGCAGAGAAAGAGAAAGACCTCCACTCCGTTGGAAAGATCAGGTGGAGTATAAACCTGGCT